TGGCTGTTCTGCATGTACAGAAAAAGGCTTCCTGAAACAATGTGGGTTTTATTTATATGATTTAAACAATAACACGGCTCATAAACTCAGTTTGGTTCTGAAATATAGAGATGAGAGATGTAGTTTGGGAATTGTGTATTTGTGGCCCATTCAGTCGATGGTGAAATCTGGTATTTGTAAAAATAAAGGATTTTCTGAGGAGAGACATAGCTATTTGCCTGAAAGCATCGTTCTTGAGTTGGTAAAGTTGTAGATTTCCTATGTAATAACAAAACAAAAATCTCAAGTCATCAGGAAGTATTGAGCTTGCGCTTTCTTCCTTTGAGACAGGGCCTCACTATGTAGCCTGGCTGGTCTGGAACTTGCTTTGTAAACCAGATTGGCCAGGAACTTTCAGAGATCTGCTTGCCTGGGTCTTTTGAGTGCTGGGATTGAGGGCTTGAATATCATCACACCCAGTTCTGCTGTGGTCTTTATTTGGGGAACTCAACAATTCTGCCTAACTTTGGTTAACTGAAATTCCTCCCTTGGAAAGTCATGTTCTTCAGTGGCATATCAGTCTGGTCAGTCAGGTTGGCTAAAGCTTCTTGGGAGGACAGTGAGGCAGAATTTTCAGGATGATTGCTCTCGGAGTCTTATTCACGTGGCATCCAAAGCTCTGATAGAAATAAGGACAGAGTGTAAGAGCTGGAGGGACAATTTCTGAGAAATTGTATTCTAGGAATGTCAGAAGCTACACCCATGAAGTCGTACCAACATGACTGCCTAAACCTGAGCTGATCAAGGACACAACAGTAGACATGCCAGTGTAGCCTCCCCCTACACAGAGACCTACAGGCAGTTAAGGAACACCGAGAGCAGGAGACAGGGACTTGAGGGAAGAGCACACCCAGTGAGCATCCACCTCCTTATTCTTTAGAGTCTCTCACTCAGTCTGGAGCTGGGTTGGCTAAAGCCAGCCCCAGCAGCCCTCCAGTCTGCAGCCACCTCCCCTTCTGCAGAGACCCCATTGCCGTGGGAGAAGGTGCATGGGCCCAAGCCTGGCTTTCTGTGAAGGTGCTGGGCTCTGAATTCAGGTCCTCATCCGTGCACAGCGAGTGCTCTTACCCACAGTCCCAAGGAAGTGTTGCAGTTTTGTGGTCACAAGTGTGCCTGTCCGTGATTGTGTGTGCATGAGGAGGTCAAAGGAGAACCCTGTGGAGTCAATCCTCTCTCCTTCCCCTTGCATGGGATTCCAGAGTTCAAACTCAGATCGCCAGGGCTGTGAAGCAAGTGCTTCAACCGAACGAGCCGTCTAGCAGGCCTAAGAACCTGACTGTATGGAGCACGGACTAGCTACCTAGCAGGGAAAACACAGGAGGAAGTGTTTTTCAGAATTGGCAGCAAACTTACTTTTTTGTTAAACAGTGGGAGCAGGGAAGTCTAAATGTAGTTCTGACAATGGGAGTGAGTTAAGAAAAATTGTTAGTAGCCAAAGCAAATTCTTTTCCAATGAGTTTTTATTTCTTTAAAAAACTTACTTAAATTATGATGGAGAAAATTTTTGTTTCTGCTCTATGCCATAGTCATAAAATGATTTTTTTCACAGATTTGTCATTACCTAATCATATTTAATAAGAGTCTTTGTGTCGTAACAGAACCGATCTATTTAATGAGATCTTCTGCAATGACAAAATGTAAAAAATCACTGTTGTTGTCAACTACAGTAGTACTTTATTTAGTTTTTTTTTTTTAGCATTTTAGGATCTGAAATTTGCTTTCCATAATGGACACAGTGTACATCCATGAAGGTGTAAGGATACACACACACACACACACACACACACACACACACACACAGCCCAGTGAAACAAGACTAGATCTTTTGGCTTCTTGTCACAACTCTAATACTCACTCCATGAGCCCCAGGGCTGTCCTCTGGCTGCCCTGAGCCAGACACTGAGTGCGGGGCCGGGCTCTAATATTTCAGCTGCCTTCCATTCCCTGGAGCTCCTGCTAGTGGATGGCGCTGACTGGGTGGTGGCTGAGAGTCCGCCCTTCTAAGGAGCTCCCAGGTGAGGCTGCTGTTGCCTGTGAGCCACACAGGGTGGTAAGGGTTTTGGATGACCCCTGGAGTTCTTTTCAGCTCTAACATTCTGAAATGTGTACTAGCTGCAAACCTGGTAGGGAAAATGTATTGTGGTACATTAAAAAGCCAGGCAAACCTTTATTTTTATTTATTAAATGACTTAAATAGCAAGCATTTGTTAGGTTGATGGTATTCTTTTAGTCATTTTAATTTGTTGCTTTCCAAAAAGAGTCCCATAAAACAGATTAGGGATATTCACCTTACTTATTTATGGGTAGAAAATGAGCTATAATGCAGGAGATTGTCTCTTCTTGTCCAGGACTGCACCAGCACTTGGATGATTAGAATTACATATTTTGAGTTTCTATCGAGTGTGGGGGCTTTTCTTGATAGTTTTCAGTCCACAGCATGGAAATTAAGTGTGCAGTAGTTTGCATTATAAATAGGCCCATACGGAATGAGACTCCTCCCAGTAAAATCAGGATGCTTCCTGCTCTGCTGAGCCAGAGTAGGGAGCAACTGTATTTAATGAACGAAAGAGCGATCTCTTCCTGTGTGTAGTCATGCACTCGAGTTGTGTTTTGGTAGCCAGACATTGTAACACATGTAGTCAATGATGAGGCAATGCCTATCCAAAAGATTGTGACATACCAAGCACTGGTTCATCATGTGAGGATTCATTCCGTGTTTTTCACACTATGCAATACGTTAAGTTTAACTTGTTTTTGATAGGTTTACTGTGACAGTGAAGTGTGTCTCTGAGTGTGTGTTCTTCCCGAGGCCAGCAGCACACTGGCCAGTTTATTAAAGAGAATGTGTGCCTCTCACACCCTGACATGGCACCTCTTTCCCCGAAGGAATATCTGAAAGAACAACTGCTTGCTACGAATGGTTCAGAAGAAGCGCCATTACCCAGCCAACCTCTGAAGGTGACCTTGAGGGACGCAGAGGAGCAGTCTCCTGTGTTTAACCCTTTCCATGTATATAAGGCGTTTAGTGAACACATGCTAGATCAGGTATGTGGGAATTAAGTGTAAAATTAAACTTAAATGTATGGTTTCTGTAAGTCAGAAGTAAGACACAACCCATGATTTACTACTGTATGCATGGTCTTTCCCCACACACTTTTTTTTGTTTGTTTGTTTAGGAAACAAAAATTCACACTGTTATTTACATGACCTGTACAAGTGTTTTAAGTTGTTGAGCTCATTTCCATGTTAAACTGGTTCGTATGTTTGGTCTATAAAATTTAACTTTCATTTGGATCCTTTTGCTGTTAGGCTGTATCTGCATAAGGCCCAAAGGGCCAGGCACCTTTTGTCACTCTCCCCCTCTGGAGAGTCACACACACACACACACACACACACACACACACACACACACACACACACACACACACCGTTAGGACACATGATTACATGGCATCTCTCGGCCTCTGTGAATGCATCAGGTAAATTAGGAAGCACTTTAAATGAATTATAGAACATGGAGCCCCTATTATAAATGGCATGAGATAAATTTGCTTTTTTATAACCTTAGACACATCCCCAAATTTAAAATGGATTTTCTAATGACTTTGAAGCAAAAATATTTAAAATAAAGCCAGCACGGTAAAAACAATACATTTTTAATAGTCAGGTTTGCCATTGTCTCAGCTGCACACGTCAGTAATTTCATTAAAAAAGAATATCTTTCCACAAAATATGTGAATTGGATTCTTTTTGTTTTGTTTGATTTTTTTTTTTTCATTTCCCTAGAATCCTCTTGACAGACAACTTGAACTAGCAGGGCAGAAGAGAAGGATTGCTTGACCTAGAGTGCTGATGAAAATAAGAATTAAAACACTGGCCTAATTTGGCATGCAGATAATACTTTAACCATGCCTGTTACAGCCTTCGTCCACATTCATCAATACTATAGTAGAATAAGACCTTCAATGCTGACAACCCGGGGCGAATTCTCCTGCTCTATGACAGGGTTGCAGCGCTAGATTTATCAGCAGTGACAAGGGATAGCTCTGGTTGGATTTCAAAGACCATGCTGGAGTCTTATTATCCAAACCGTTTAGTTTACAGAGCAGATGCTCCTAGAAGATTTTAAACCTAATATGTAAGGTTCAGTTTCTTGGTTGCTTCTTATACTGCACACTAGATTGCTTTAAATTACAAATAATTATTGTAGCTATTAAATCACCCTTACTTCACTTAAATAAATAGCATGTTTACCAAGTTCTGAACTATGAGAATATTTTTCACAGTAATTTTTCTCCTTATTCTTCTGTGAAATTATCTATTAATGAGAGAAAAGAATCATGTATGTTACTTACACTTGGAAATTCTTATAATTTTACCATTAAAACATTTTCTTAACAAAAAATAATAGTAGCAATAGTGTCCAGTTCTAATTGAATTGTGTCTCACAGCGTGAGGCCTAGCCCTTACTAAGTTTCCCTTTTGTATCCACACTGAGGTACTGGAAAACAACCTGGGAAAGTAATGTCATCCATGAGAAGCTAGCCAGTCACTGTGCTCGCTTTTCAGAATCACCTCCCAACAAAACTTGTTGGGCAAATGCCATTAACACTTGGAAAAATAACGAATCTGGAAATTGATTTATATTTTTATAAATAATGACTACATCCTCAAATGGATTTATAAATTAATTGCTGTCTTATTGGAATAAACACCTCCTCTGTGGACATGATTGATGTTATCTGTCGAAGTCCTTGTTCTGAGCCCCCTCCTTCTTAGTTAGAGTATCACAGCTGGAGCTTTAATTTACTGATCATATTAATTCTGATTAATAACTAACAATAGTGTCTTCTCATTTATCAACAGGCGGCCACAGCAACATGGTGCTGGACCTGGTCAAACTTGCTGCCAAATTACCTGCCACTGGATAAGACGGCCTTCGGTGCACTGCTCAAAAACAGGTAATAAGATTGAATCTGGGGCTCAGGGAGTATGTGTAACATGCATGTCAGTTTTAAGAAAAGTGAAAATATTTTATTGGCAGGGTAATCACCTATTTTCTGATTTTTGAGGCACCCATCTTAAATAATATGACTAAAGTTATATGTACACCTTCCAAATTCTGTTTCCTGTAATGAATAGTTGCAAAATTAGTTGATTTTTTTCTTAATTTTAAATATTTTTGACTTTGTATATTGAATGGGTCACTATTGTAAACACAGAAAGTTACTGGCTTGAATGTCATTATCAGGGTATACTTTTGTTTACAGCAATTTCATGAATGCATGCAAAATGCCAGAGCAAATCATCTAGTCCAATCAGGGCAGACATAAGTAAGACTGTCAAGACTGAAGTGTTTTACTTTTCCGCCAGTATCTACTATACCCTCACATGCATGTTGTTTTAAACACACACACACACACACCACATGCACATACACACACTACACACACACACACTCTTTCACTGTTCATATGTCATCTTTAGGCTTATAACTAAGTATGGAAATTAATTTCTGTTTAATCTCTGTGATGTAGCTCCATGTTTTTGCAAAAATATTGAATAACATTTTCCTTAAAAATATAATGACAAGGACATAGTAGAAGTGTTATATTATCCTTGAGAAATCTTATCATATGAAAGAGAATATCTAAAAGAGATTTCCCAAATGGAAGTTCGCAAAGCAAAACAAAACAAAACACCAATGTATGTGTCACCAGTAAAAGTTAAACCTTAGATATGTGGTCACAGTAGCATTCTAATATTTTGCCTGTAGATTAAGATCATTCACCTACTAGGACCAAGTTCAAAAAATGACCAGTTTCCTCTTGAAGGACAGAGCGTTTCCCTCAGCAAGCAGCCTGCACGCTATTCATTTTCAGTGTTTGGTGGAACACTGAACCCTCTGGTCCCATCCCCAAGTTATCTGGAAATGTGAGAGGTGGGTTGATGAAAGGGAGTCCAGGTCCCCTGTTGAACCAAATTATATGGTGTGAGCACAATATTTTTATCTGGCAATACCCTTGAAAAGATAAGCTTTCCCCCTGCTATTCAGAAAGTTTTGAGTTTATGCAGATTAAACATTATAGTTTCCTAATTTTTCTTCAGTTGTAAAATTCCTGCTTCTAATCAACTAAATGATACTCTAGGGACAGCACATCCTTCAAAACTTACTATATTTGCATTGTATAATATCCACATCTAAGGAATTTCTGCTTTAACAGAAATTGCATATTGTATCTGTGTTTAATAAGAATATTGTTTAATAATATATTTTAATTAGGTCACTGGATATTAAAGTCTATTTCTCTGAGATACATGCAGGAGTAAGTAGGAAAGAAAAAATGAAAAAGAAAAATCCTGCAAATTTACTCCAGAATAGCAGGTCAGACAGTTCCCTTGGAAAAGGCTCATGAATCTTTAATGGAGGCAGCTACAATCTAATCTTAATAAGAACCTGAGATTTTAAAGAATGGTGTAAAAAGCATTCTACTGAAAACCACAAGACGCCACAGCAGCAATGAGCCTAATTGATTTACTCTAGAATGATGAGAGACACCTGAGGGGCCTATCAGCTATCACTTCATTTATTTTAGAACTTTCTGTCTGAGTTTGGATTGATATTGAGCTAGTAAGGAAAGGGTTTCTGCTATTTTTCTCTAGAATTCTAAGCCACTCTCTTTTTTGACCTATCTGAAAATGCTGACTTGTAAAATAGAGTTTGGAACTTTTCGATAGTGAGGTTCTCTAAAAAGTACAGACTGCAGAACTGTGAGTCTGTAGAAGGAGGGGTAGGCATGCCATCGGTGTCTCTGTGAGGTGACACTTCCTACTCACAGCACGGTCTTAGTGCTAGGCAGCACTGAAGGAGATGTCCCAGAGCAGCAAGCGCTGAAGGAGACCCCCCAGAGCAGCCCAGCTATTGGTGAAATTATTAAGGCCACTCCACCTAGTTAAAAGATTTATTTAATGGCGTAACATACAAATGAAGGAATAGGTAGGTTGAGGGTTCTGGGAAAGACACAGCAGTAGTCCGGTGATGTTCTCTGGAGAACTCTCCGCTGTCCACCTCTAGCATCCGGGCTCCCAGCAGCAAGAGAGCACAGCACATCCCAATCTCCGGTCTTCAGGCCCTCCTTTGGCCCCGCCTTGTGGGCCTGATAGTTACCAAAACCTCAATGGGGGTTGGAACTTCCAGACCAAAGCTGGAATGGCTACCCACTACATCTCCTCCTTTTTGTCTAAATAAGAAGGTTCTAACTTAATACAAGACTATATACAAAGGAATGGTTATTAAATATTATCCAGGAGTAATGAGGGATAATGACCTAGATAAGATGGAACTACAATTAATGTGAACAATATCAAGCAAAAAACACATACTAAAATCCAGAGAAGTCTAGAGCATAGGTAAATGGTATGTTACAAAGATCATTCCAAAGGGTGTCCTATCCTAAAGAACCTGAATCTAATACTTAATATGTTCTATCTAAGACATATATATATATATATATATATATATATATATATATATATATAAAGTTGTAACTATAACTGTTAATCTTCAATCCCATCAAAGACCTGAAAGGAATATAATGGTACCTGAGAAATGGTAGATGGATGCAAGCAACTTTCAGGAATCTTGCAAGAGTAGACAGAGACAGCTGGCAGCCTGGACAGTCACCTAATGTTTCTCAGCATTGTTGGTGCATTCAGATTGGCTACAGGCTTAGAGTATCTGACAGACCATTTTCAGAAGCAGGAATTCTGAAAGACCATCTTACCCTGTCTTGGCAGAATACAGTGGTCGCTTTCTCTGTGTCTGGCTTGTCCAGGAAGGACAGCATTACATTTGTACTGTCAAGAGTCGAGGCAAGGGCAGTTCTTTGCCTAATAGGCTATTTTGTGCCAAGAAGACAAACTTCCAAATGGAAATGTCTAGAAGCCCAACATTCTCTCGGTATCAAATTGGTGCTGCCAGGAGCAATTGTGTCTCACGTCAACAGAATTCTAAGTTATTTAAATGCCATATTCTCTAGGTCTATGAAGTGTTTGAAGATTACCTGTCCATCTGACCTATGTATCTGTAAATCTGGATAACCTAACTAACGTAACTATAGAGATGACAAGCATAGGTGACTATAAATCTGTAACTCTTATCTACTGAAATAAACTAAGGACTAAGGTTTCATGTAAACAAGGTAAACAGCCTATAAGCAAATGTATGGTAAGGAATGATGACTTCAAAATTGTGACAATACACAAGATATTTATAACAGAGGTAGGAATATATAGTGCGATATGCAATATGACAATAATCTTAAATATATATCAATATACCGAATATCCTAAACAGAAGTAGAACATACAAAAAGTATGACAGATATAAATTTACATTTGAATCAATATAAAAATATTTCAAATAAGAGTAGAAATATATGTACATTGTAACAAATATAGTTCTGTATTTGTATCAATATACAAATTATCTTAAACAGGAGTATAAAAATAGTTTACATTTGTATCAACATATAAGAATCCATAACAGTGCAAATTATCTAAGGCTGCTATTTTACTAAATTTGTTTACGAGTATATGCAATAATCTACCATAATATCTTATACCTACATAATTTTACTTTGTTAAGGTTAAAACCTTCCTTTTGGAAAAAAAAAGGGGGGGGGAGTGCTGTGGGATGTTCTGTATGTCCTGTGGGAGCCCGTTCTCAGGTTCCTCGTGGCTTTACCCAGCAGGTCCGCATAGAGGATGATTAGGACCACAAGCCTAAGTGCAGGTGTCTGAGATGGTCTGCACTTGGCTGTGCTGGGGGATGGTCTGTATGTCAAGTTGCTCTGATTGGTCAATAAATAAAACCTGATTGGCCGTGGCTAGGTAGGAAGTATAAGCGGGACTAACAGAGGAGAAATAAAAGAACAGGAAGGCAGAAGGAGTCACTGCCTGGAGCCACCGCCAGGACAAGGAAGATGTAAAGTACCGGTAAGCCACGAGCCACGTGGCAAGGGATAGATTTATGGAAATGGATTAATTTAAGATATAAGAACAGTTAGCAAGAAGCCTGCCACAGCCATACAGTTTGAAAGCAATATAAGTCTCTGTGTTTACTTGGTTGGGTCTGAGTGGCTGTGGGACTGGCGGGTGGCAAAGATTTGTCCTGACTGTGGGCAAGGCAGGAAAACTCTAGCTACACCCAGCTGTGTGTTTTCTGCCCTTTGGCATCGAATCACCAACTGCACAAGTGACTCACCCCCTTTCTGCTCCTTTTCCCAGTGATAACATACTGATTGTGGCTTACATGCATGAATGAGGCTGTGAGTGTTGACTGCAGACCTGATGCTATGAAGCAAACCAAACTCAACATACAAATATTAAAAAAATGTTTAGGAGGACAGCATCCACCTGATTCCCTTATAAAGTGCCTTAGTGACCAGACCAGACTTCTCTTGTCCTTAGAATAGAACAAGCATGAAAAAGTAGGATTCCTGAGTCCTCAAGAGCTTATAGATTCCCATATAGATAAAATGAAATTACATAGCTACTCCCTGGAGTTGACACACCAAGAGTGTTAAAATATTTGTAAGTTGGAATACCTTTGCAGGAATGTGCCCAGTGTTAGTTCTGTCTTGGAAGGAGACTGTGACTATTCACTGTAGCTTAGTTGGCAGAGTACTCCTGCTGTATATGAGGCCCTATGTTTAATCTTGTCTAAAATAAATAAAGAGTTGTGAAATAAATCCTCTAAGCCACCAAATTTGTGGCAATTCCAGGCCTAAATGAACAGATAAGGCTAGACAAGAGAGCTATCCAGGCATAGGGCATGTGGGTTTGGAAGACAATCAGGAAGAAAAACGTCAAGAATCAGGAGGCCAGGACAGCCATTCATGAGAAGGGACCTGGAGCTGAGTACTTGAGAGGCAGTCCGAATGTATTCAAGAGAAGCCTG